TATATATATATATATATGGCCCAAGACCTATATAAAAAAAACTATCAATTTACATGGTTTTGCGGCCCAGGTAAGACGCTTCTATTCAGATCCTGATGTTTTGGGCTGGTTCATCAGGCTTTCAGTTCTAGGATTCAAGGCATTCGGGTGTTCCGGGCCTTCTTGCAGCTTGGTTCTGATGCGGCCCAAACGGCCGTTTGGGGCTCTGCAGGCCTGCAATCCAGCTGCGGTCACCCGTCTGCGACTCGATGCATTCGGGGCCCTAAACTCCTATAAACCCAAAACGATCCTCGGTATCTTGGCCACTAACTTCTGTGGCCCGGCACTTAGCAACTGGAGGGAAGGCGGCTTGAGTGTTGCCGTAGGCGGGGTTAAGGGTTTCAGGGCCTAGGGCTTATGATAGTCCCCAGCTCTATACTACTATGATGTATCCCACGATGGTTTTCAAACCCGACGTAGACTATGTTGTTGGGGTCTAAAGTTAGTTTTGGGATCAAGATGTTGATTTGGGGCCAACCCTTCAACCAGAACTTGTTTTTCTTGCTCTGCGTTTGGGGACACAACATCCCAAACCCTAAACATCCCAAACCCTAAACCCTAAACCTTAACCGAGCTGCCTCCGCAGACTGTTTTGAGGACCTGCTCGCGAGCAAGAGAGCCGTTCTTGAAGACAAGCATGCCTTGCTCGTGAGTGGATGTCTCAGGATCCAGGATCTTTGTTTTTGTTGTTACCTAAGTAGTGGGCTATTGAACTTGCAGGTATGGTATCAGGCCTTATATTGGGTTTATAAGGACCAAGCCCCCGATTTCGGTAAGTGGGTTTGCCATGCTGTGCAGGGCTCTATGCGGGTATCAGGGCGGAAGGAATTACGAGTCATTTTGCGGCCGGAATCCGCAGCAGCCGGAAGCGGGAAGCGATGTCACAGTAGACAATGGCGCGACTGTATCGCCAGGCCACGCAGGAAGTAGGATTGTGTCAATAGCTTCACCGTACTTCCAGTGCTCTGCTCCAACCAAAACTGAACCTTCTTGACGCGTGTACTACTCTCGGGCCCGAAAACTAGCATCTTCGCGCGCTTGGCCTCGAGCCCAGAAGCAAAAGCCCTTGACATATTGAAGGGTTTAGGGTGTAGGGAGTTTTGAGTAGGACCCTTCGAACAAAAACTAGGTCGTGGAGCGAGTCCCAACCAAGGCGCCCATGTAGGAGTTTGGATCCACAGGATTTCGCAGCACCATGCCATCCTCCCCGGGGGAAGCGCTGGCCATCATGGCGAACCTGCTCTTGGGCTCCTAAATCCCGATACCTGGACCCGAAAAGCTCTTCTGCGTTAGGGTTCCTTATAGTGTGATTTCCTTACAATATGTCCGTGAAATATGTATGTTTTAAGGATCCGGGTACACCCTACACCCCTGAATTGGGGCTTTGAGCTCCTAAATCCTGATCCACCCTACACCCATGCAGCGTTCAAGATCTTACGTTTCAACATTCACAAAAGCCCAGGGATTTAGGGCTTTAGGCTGCTTGGGGTTCCGCAAGATTGGAGTTGCGGCAGATTTGGGGGACCCTAAGCCCTAAACCCTTGGATAAAGTGCACAGAAACCGTCTGGCTTTCCTCATCGTCGACCTGAATCCCCTCCGGAAGGTTGCAAAGTAAGTTCTCTTGGCCTCGACCCTAGCGGCCTTAAACCTGAACCTCGAGACCAAGACCTACCCGCAACTCCCACAGATTCAGTATGCACGATATGTGATGGCGAGGCAAGAATGGAACAGTAAAAATTATACAAACAGCTTGCATGTCTGTGTGTTAAAGTTGAAATGGGAAGTTTAATGATCCCATTGACAAGTCTTACAACGAGGACAGTCAGAATGTTTTTGCATGTCAATATCGAAGCACTTCGAGCACCAAGTAGCTGTACAGCAATACAAGTATATGCCTGGGCCCTACACCGGACAGGAACTATACAGGCAAGCATCTGCTGCTAACGACATACTCTACATAACTAACCTACGCATGTACGGCCCAAGGCAAAGAACGCTCTTCCAGTGAAGTGGCATCGTGTCGGAGGTACCCATGGACACAGCCACGTCACCAGGTGCCTCCCATGAAGGCTTGACATTTAGGCTAGGGCATTCCGATTAAAGCCCTTAACCCTAAACCCTAAGGCCCTAAACCCCTAAACCGTAAACTTTTGACTCCTAAACTTTAGTCCTAAACCCTACAGCCTCACCTCGCCCAGCCTTACATCTCGGAACCTAAAACCCCAAATCACGAAGCCCGCGAGGCTGAAAGAAGCGGGGACGACTCCGAGCGTGGGGAGCTGGGAGCATGAAGACTATCTTTCCGACTCTTAATGATTTAATGCTCCTGAACCCTGAACCCTAAACCCTAACCCCTAAACCCTAGCTTGAGGGTTTTAGTTTAGGGCTCAGAGTCTCCGAAGACCCGAAAGAAGGTGCTTGTCTGAGGCATGTCGGGATCAACACACCGGCTTCCCGTTTACGGCTTAGGGTTTCCAGTCCGAAGCATTCGGAGTTGGCTTTTCAGTTTGCCTACGGCTCGAGACCCCATCAGTCACACGTCGCTCGACCTCGAACCCCCAAAGCCTCAAAGCCGAATCCTGAAGACGTAGACAGGCGACTCGAAGTTGCGGCTGTAAGCTTATCTCAAGATGCTAGGAGCATTATCCCCCCATGGCACCTGCAGCCCAAGGCCCGCCAAAGAACAGGGATTATCGCCGGACCAGGCAACGACGAGACCTTGCCACCGCTGGAGACTGCTGTCATACTAAGTCCCTCTTCCAGGTGTATTTCTGAAATACCATAATTTTACAGAGCTGCGTTGCGGCCGAGGTCGTGGATTTGAATGCCGATCCTATGGGAGACTTAAAACTTGCCGGGGCACGGAATGCTCCGTGTGGCAACGGCTATGCGACTCACTAAATCATCTTACACGAGGCCCTGCCCCAAAATAGCTGACCCCCCAACCCACGGTCTACTGCCTAAACCTAAAGTTCATTGAGCCCGCAGCAAACCTCCAAAGCTTCGAAACAATTTCTGCAGCACCAAGATTGGACACTAAACCGCAAACTCAGCAAACAGTAACTCAAAGCTCTCAGTGCCAAACCCCACTGGCCCCCCCCATGTCTGCAACTTCTGCTCCGAAACCCCTAAAGCCCCAAACCCCGATCCGTTTCATGTTCGATCAGACTGGTTTAGGGTTTTAGGGTTTAGGGTTTAGGGTTTGGGAGGGTAGGAGGTGTAGGGTTCGAAGATTTAGCCAGCAAATATAGTAGCTACAAGTACCTCAGGAGGGGGTCTAAGCAAGTATAAGTGTAGTTGGCTGAACATGGCCCTACCTATTAAGGTCTGCACTGTTCTTCTACATGGGACTTTCCGAAAATTAGGGTACCTTATTTTGGGGTCCTTATAATACGGATCCTACTCTGAAGGGTACTACATTAGGGTCCCCTATTGTCGGAAACCCCCACATCGACATAGGGGTCTAAACAATAGGTTGGGATCCGTCTATTAATTATTGAGGATCTATATTTCGGGCAGCTTCGGAGTTGGATTCTCGGGCTGCTCAAACTCCGTGACTTCGAGCGCTGGGCCGAGTTTTCCCAGCCCAATGCTTCAGAAATCCTACGGTTTTTAGGGTTCCTGTTCTGGTAGCCTTGCATATTTCCCCAAGCAGGTAGGATTATAGGGTTTAGGGTTTAATGGGGTTCAGGCGATCACCTGCGCACTTTCAGACAAAGGGCAGGTCGGGGAAAAACCATACCGCTTCACGAAGTAGGGCGCCACCTTGGCACAAGTTGGGTGCTGCCCTAGCGCCCTTTTTGCTCCAAGCCCACGGACGGAACCCAGCGAGATTTTTTTCGGATTTTGGTGTGATAGTCCTGAGCTGTCACGCCCCAAAGTCCACTCCTGATCCCCCCAACCCCCATCTCCACATATTGTAGGATTCAGGGCTTGCGGTTTACAAAAAAGTTTCCACAATCTCTACACTGAACTGTAAACCCAACCTAAGGGTCGTACTGTAACTAATTGCATAGACTTGTAACAGGCAGTTTGGGCAAGTGTGAACTCGCAAAGCCGCAAACCCTGAACTTAAACCCCCCACCCCACTAATTAAGCTGTACAGGTCCGTGAACTCTGAACCTCAAAACCCGAAAAAACAAAAAAAACTAAACTTCGAGAGCCCTCGTTCAGCTATTTCTTAGACCGTAAACCCTAGAGCCCTAAACCCTAAACTCTAGAGCCCTCTTGCTGCGCTGCCGCTGAAGGTCACTGCCCAATGCACGGTGCGACTCGCAAAGACCGGGTCCGAGACGTGCCCGAAGTCCTCCGAATGCACTGAATGGATTTAGGGTTTAGGGTTTAGGATTTAGGGTTTAGGATTTAGAGAGTTTAGGATTTAGGGTTTAGGGTTCGGGGTCTTCGGGTCTTAGGGCGTATAGGGGCTTAAGTTGCTTAAGCCTTTAGGCTTTAGAAGCAGGGTTTAAGTAGAGTTCAAAAATGCTTCATGGGGTCTTATGGATAGCTGATAGCTGTGCCTATGAGTTTTACAGAGCAGCTTCTGGAAGATTCTAGGGGATGTTTGAAAGGCTTTGTTGGGCGTCCAGGGCACACTCAGAGCAGGGGACTCAGTAAGGAGGCTTTCAATTGGAGCACTAGCTACACTTGTACATACTTGTATCCATGATTCGGGTACTTCGAACCATCGTTGCAGCTATCCATGCACTTTCAAGCAGGATCTCAGGCTTATTTCGGATGAGTAGGGTCTGGATTTCAACATGGGTAGAGAAGATTGCGCGCTGATGTTTTTTAGGTGCTAGGGCTTGAAACCTTCGGGTGTGTAGGGCCATGGCTTCGCCATGGCTTCCTCGGGCTGTGGTCGGCTGACGATCTCATGGCCCTAAACCCTAAACCCTAAAATCTAATACCCTAAAACCCTAAACCCTCTGGAGTTTGCATTCTTTGATAGCACCGTCGGTGGCGGGTCCTGCCGCGCCGCCTGGGGCAGCAGCCGCCAGTGCCGGGTCGTACCAGGTCAGGCCACCGAGCTCCTATCAGCGTAGTTGGGATTTCGTGTGGATTAAGCAAGTCTTTGGGAATTGTTGCCCAACCCCAAACTGTACAGTCGTTATGCAAAGTCATAAGGGAGGTTGAAGGAGCTGAAAGGCTTGACTTGAAACTCCTAAAAGGGGTCAGGTTCAGACCTCACAAATTTATGGATTGCCTAGACCTAGACCCCCCCTGTCCAACAAAATCGCATGGCACTGACGACACATGGATCACGAGCCATGATTCTGGGAATTGATGGACTGGAATCGACGCATAGAGCTGAGGCAGCTCCACCTCTACTCCACCTGCGGCTTACAAAGAGTGGGATTTAGGGAGCCCCGAATTCCAACAGTGCCTAAAACCTATACCCTAAACCCTAAACCCCTAAACCCTTAACCCCTAAACCCTGAACCCCTAAACCCTAAACCCTAAACCCTCAGCGCTAAACCCTAATGTGCCTGCAAGTTGTTCAGGTTGGTCCCAGAGCCGTCGGAGGTGTCCACTGGGGCATACGCGCCCAAAAAGAGGGAGCACATGGCTGAAGAGACCTCGAGAGGCTCAAACTACACCCTTAAATATACCCCTGTGGCATTACAGGGTCTAGGGTTTAGGGTTTAGGGGTTTCGGGGTTTAGGGGGTTATCTACGTAGGCATAGACTCCGGTCCATGCCGAAAGGGCCGTTTTAAGAGGGCTGCTCGAACATAGGATCCCATTGGGTGCCTGCTGAAACAGAAGGCTGAAGAGCACGTGTCTGGTTATTCGGTGCCTCCTCTTAGAAGCACAGATATGATAGGGCTTAGGGGTCAACACAAAAGGCTGCCCCCCCCCCCCCATTCAGCGCTTTAGCCGCAGAATAGCAGGTCTACTGGCCTTACTACCGCAAATTCAGGTGACGAGGTAGAACCCAAACCCCCCTAGCCTTTTCCCTGCAACCTTGAATCAGGCTTCTTCTCTTGTCCGAGAGGCGAGGGATATGTGCTCGCACTTCTCGTACATGGCTGGCCTGCAAAATTCAGAGACCACCAAACACACCTAGAACCAACATAAGAACCAAAGGCACTTAATTAGATTCAGCTCTTGGCACCAGAAACCTTCAACACTGAACCCATGCACCACTGAGCCATAAGCACTCCCCTTCACGCCCCCTACCCACAACCACAGCGGAGAAGCTTGATGCCTCCAAACCACCAAATTCCCGGGTGTGAACTTTGTCATTTCTAAACACTGAAATCACGTAAGAAGCCAAAGCAGTGGTGCCCTTAAAACCATCGTGAACAAACAACAACACATTCACACATCTTATTTACGTACCTCAACCTACAAGCCCTACCAGCTGCAAACCCTAAAGACTAATCCCTGAACCCTAACCCCTAAACCCTAATCCTAGAGTTAGATGTGTAGGGAGACGCCAGCATAGCACCCAGGACCTCCGAACATCTGCAAAAAGTGCGGCCGAGAAACTCCTCCTCGATCAGCTTCCTGACTCCAGGGCTCTAAAGTTGCAAGGGCTCCTTCTAAAAGATTACCATAATTATAAGGGTTTAGGATTCCAGTTTAGGATTTAAGGTTTAGATTACTACAAGGGTTCAAGGGCCAGTTTTGGGTTTGTTGTTTAGACTGCCATAAGGGTTTCGTAGTTGCATGATTACCACTCGTACATTTAGAGTAACTGTTCTTCCATTTATACATTGTCGCACTAGACTTGATTGGCTACATGGCCGTTGCCGTTTGATTTATACATGTATGGCCTTTGATCTACGCCTTGAGGGCCGATCTTGCACCCAAGACTGGCCTTCACAATGAGACCAGAGTTTCGGGACGTTTTCTGAATGGAATATCAGGGAGTGCTGTCCCGAATTGCTCTGATCCCTATAATGGGTCAGTAGGTCCTCAACACCGTAGGTCTAGGGCTTTCGGTTTTAGGAAGCTTGGCTTTAGGGTTCTTGGGCATCAAGAAGCTGCAACAACCTGCCAAGTCCGAAAGCCCCAGCGGCGCGATCTGCATGCCCGTAAATCGCTCGTAGGCCCGAGAACCTGTGGCCTCTCGCAGAATCCGTACTGGGTTCAGCGGCTCAGGCTCCTTTTGGGTGGTTCAGGCTGGGAGGGTTCCTCTTAAAGCGGCAACGGTACGTATGTCACTTTCACAACAGAGAGGTAAATATTTAGGCCCCTATTTTACGTATCAGAGATCGGGGTCTAAGCCGGAATCCTGTTCGCTGTGCCAGGATGTAGTTCGGCCCCTTTTCCCCAAACTCCCCATGTAGAGTGCTAGACTTATCAAACCCTGAGACATGCAAAATAGGCTCTTTGTATGCCTTCGGTTTTATCTCACAACAAGCGGTCCGTTGTCTGCAATGTCATGATAAAAGTCTCCGGCGCGCTGTGTTGGATTGCGCCAAACGTCCGCTGACAATTAAAAACCAAGAACAATGTTCTGAGAAATGATTTCTGTCTTCCACCACTACACCCCAGTCCATGAGCACTGGTATATGAATATCGGCAACCACAACCGAGCGCCACCCGCAAAGCCGCAAGGCCTGACATCCTCGAGCCCTACACCCGAAGCTTTGAATCCAAAAGTCCTCAGGCCCGAATCCGAAGCCTATCCGATGTAGGATTGTCATTGCTCGCATCCCCATAACAAGTAGAACGCGGAGTACAAGCCCAACCCTAAACCCTAAACGCCCTAAACCCAATTCATATCAACCAGCACCTCTACCATCCCAAAGCCCGACAGAGGCCATCTCCGATCGTTGCCTTTGAACCCGAAGCCCTGAGGGCTCAACAGCCTTGAACCCTACAAGCCCTTGGCACACGTGAGGGCCCATGAACCCCTGCCAGAACGGTATACAACCCGGCAAGCCGTAACCAGTCTAATTATTCATGCAACCATGCATGGTTCAGGGTTTAGGGCGTACAGATGTTTAGAACCATGGCCCTAGACCCTGAACCCCAAACCCTAAACCCCAAACCCCTGTTTAGATTAATGGATCATAATGAACACCCTAAACCCTAAACCGTAAACACCAAACCCCAGCAAGGCTACCGGGGAAGAGCCTTTGCCAGAGTCTGGCGGCCGACGGCCGCTTCGATTCGAGCGCACTGCGCACCTCCACAAGTCTTTACGTAGAGTGCTTACTAAGTGCTTACCCTAAGGCTCTAAGGACTCATATTTAAAGGCTTTTTGGCCCAAAGACCATACTACATAAGGCTTGTGGGCTATTTTGAGCCTGAGGGTTAGGGTTTACGGAATGGAGTTTGTAGGTTTCGGGAGTAATCAAGGACAGAAACTCTTTACGTAGTGTGCTTGTAAGGCTTCGAAACGGAGTTTAGGTTTCAGGAGTAAGGACAATAATGTTTCGTGTGAGGTTGAGACTTTGAGGATAACTATATTAAGGGCGGGGTTCGGTTACAGGAAGACCAGAACTAGCATATAATTAGGGCTCCGGGCTTCTAGGGAGTGCTCAGGTTTTGGGGCAAGTAGGGTGGTACGGATGGAATCGGCTTTGGTTCTTCGAGGTCCTTGAGGGATGTGTCAGGAGAATCGAGCTTAGAGCTTCACCTCCCTGCGTCAATCTGAGGTTAGCTGGTTGACGGGTTGGTTTGTGGCTCATGGCTTAGGGCTTGTATTAGAAGTTTAGGTTTTGGGGTTTGGGTTTTTGGACTGCCCAGATTGAACCACTACATGTAATTATAGTGTACAAGAGGTTTTAGCGTGTCAGAGGAATGTATGAAACTGCTCCTCGTCTCAATCATATCTACAGTGCATTTCTTGTGTTGATGATTGACACTGATTCCAGACCCCACATCCTAAACCCTAAACCTCAAGCCCCTAAATCCTGATGAAGACTCACCTATTGCACAAGTAAGCGTGCAGGGATTTTCCTGTCTTCCAAAACAGAAAAACAGATGGCGGCCCGCAAAGGGTTTCTTATCGAGCTCCTAGAAGGTTCCTACACAAGTTCCACGACGAGTTGCTGTTATCAGCATTCCCAGACCCGTAGCCGTAAATTCTGACCCCTCAACCCTAAAACGCAATTCCTCAGCTTGAAACTTTCAATGCGCAGCCTTGAGCCTAACCATCTAAAGAAACATCGCTAAACTAAACCCTGAACGTCAACCTCGGACCCTCGTCCGGAAGATTGTCGGACCGCATTAGCAACCCTATGGGGGCATCCTCAATAAACCCTAATGGAGGCAAAAACAGAAACGGATTGCTCAGCAGTCTTCCGTGGATCCGCAGCCTGTGGAGGAATCAGCCCAGATCGGTGATTCCATGCCTTGCTGGTTTAGGGTTATCTATCTATCTATCGATCACTCTATCCGCTAGCTATGTTCTATCTATCTATCTATCTATCTATCTATCTATCTTCTATTCATCGATCTATCGATCTGTCTATCTGTACAGACTAAGATATGATATGACATGACATGATATAATATGATATGGTATGCTGTGATATGGCATGACATGATAAGATGTGATATGATATGACATGGCATGACATGACCTGACGTGATATGGTATGACATGATCCGGTATGGTATGATATGCTATGGTGTGATATGATATGGTGTGCTGTAATATGATACATTGATATGGCATGATTTGACATGACCTAATATGTTAAGATACGATCTATGATATGGTATGCTGTGCTATGATACATTGATATGGCATGATTTGACATGACCTAACATGTTAAGATACGATCTGATGTGATATGATCTGGTGTGATATGATATGATATGATGAGATCTAGTATGGTAGATACGGAGATAGAGATAGAGATGAACATATTGATATAGATATAGGTATACATCTATAGAAACACACACACACACATATATATATATATATATACGTATCTATAGATGCAGATAGAGATTGTAATCTAGATACAGCATAGGAAACCTGGGGAACTCCAAGAGTCCTAAGAGCCCGGCGGGCGAATGCGCCGTTCAGCTGCGGTGCCAGGGCCTGGCCCTCAGAGCTGCGCGGGCTTGCAGTGCTTCACAGGGGCTTGCTAGGAAGCTATATTATTCCACAGGTTTTACAGGTTTTTTATATGGCTTTCTGGGATGTTCCAGGATTTGCTAGAACTTCATAGGATTTTGCATGCCTTTATCGGGTTTCAGCTAGATGCATATAATAAGGGTTTAAGTTCAGGGTTTAGGAGTTAAGGTTTAAGGGTTGACCGGTTCGTTCGAGGTATGCGGGGTTTGCTCAGAGCTCTGGGTTTCTCGGGCTTTGGGATTCTCTCGGCGTTTACAATTACCTACAACATCATCTGGAGATCCATACCTGACTGCCTTGCTTTAGCATCCGCACGTATTGTTTAAATTACCAACAACACAAAACATGTTGGAGGGTGTTGGTGATGCACGGGACGAGGATGAGGAGTACATATTATGACATGGAGTCTGTTAAATGGTATTTTGATGAAGAAGGTAACGGTTAGTAGATCGTGCAATGGAGCATTGGATGGTTGATGATATTCATGATGTTGGGAAAAATGAAGATGGTGCTGCTGATAATGATGATGATGATGATGATGCTGATGGCGATGCTGTTGTTCTTGATGTTACAAAATGAGAATGATGCCGACAATGCTTCGCAGGTGGAGGAGGATGACAAACGGCAAACAGAGTGCTGGTACTGCAGATCATGAAGGTACTGGATACAATCAAAGCCTTACCCCAAAGACATTTCTGCACTGATGATGACAGGACCCCTGCCTGCGGAGCTGTTGCTGAAGCTCTCAGCCCGGCACAGGATCTAGCTCCGTCAGCAAGCGAGAGGCACCCTGCGCCCAGTACACGGACCTGCAGCATGGGTCCGGCCCGCCAAGCGCGGCTTCCGATTTCAGAAAATGTTATGGGGTTCTCCCATTCAACACCCAGCAAGACAAACCCTACACCCTAAATAGCCCCTAGACGTCACGGCATCAGACTTGGAAGCATTTTTGCACATCTGCGAAAGCAAGCCGCTTCCCCGCTAACCTCAAGATCCACGCAATTCTGAAGCCTATATATCTTATAACAGTGGTATCCAGCCAGCAGAAACCCTAGACGCTCAACCCTAGTATTGTTACTGCTCGGCCGACGGGCATTGGAGTCTACCCATAGGCTCCTAAGTAGCTCCTTTTTGTGGTTCATATCCAGAATCCTATAAGGAAATCCCAAAAAGGAACTACTTAGGAGCCTATAGGTATACTATTCCCTCGAACAGCAGATACACAGCTCACAAAAAAAAACAGGTGGGTACACTTCACGGAAGTACTCGTACTGCAAGTTCAAGCTCTAGGGCTTCTGCTTTCGGTTTCTCTTTAGGGTTTAGGGTTTCACAACGCTTTGGTCAGCGACATAACTTTGACACATCTCGGACCGCTGCCAAGTGAAGCCATCATGTTCGGGTACTCTTCAATTCTCTGCACCATGGTCTACCCTAAACCCTAAACCCTAAACTAGCACTATCAAAACACTAGAGAAGGTTGTTGAGCAGGTTGCCTGGCCGGGTCGTGGCAACCTTACCCTGGAGAGCAGGAAATGCGGTAAACCAGCCCACAATAGGGTTTAGGGTTTAGGGTTACAGCCTAAGGATTTACAGATTTCAGGGATCGGGGTTTCAACAGCAATAGATCAGAAACGCTGCCGAACTTCAACAGTTGTAGCTTCCATGTTGATCCAGGGTTCCCCAGCTGCCGTGTAGGGCTTTTGGGGGAAGTGGTGTTCGGTGAATCTGGCTTGAGGCAGTTATATCTTAGAGCATCGCTGGGGGCTTCGATTCTTGCACTAAGCACGCGTGAGGATTTAAGACTTGCCGTTCAGGCTTTAAGGTCTGTTCGCTCGGATCAGATTTAACATCTAGACTGGGACTTTGGGGATACTACTACTATTACTGCTGCTGCTGCTACTACTACTACGACGACGACGACGAATACTAATCACTAAAACGACTACCAATAACAATAGTTATAAGAATCATCATATTTCTGATTCCGACCTTTGTAGCAGGGGTCTGGCTAAGAGCCGTGCCCATGCTGCTGACCGCTCCCAGATGTGGCGACGACCTCGAACGCTAGGGAAATCTTAGGGCGTTGGGTTTGGGCGCTGGGCGAAACTCCAAACCCTCAAATCGAACCGTGCAGTGCTTAAATCTGAAAGAAGTTCTGAGATTCGAGCTCCGTTGGAATATCCAAATACCCTGAATGCACTCTGAATACATACAAACTAGATATGAAAGCCATTGAAAGCGCGAACCCTAGCTACATCCTAAACCCCGTGCCTAGGTGACGGATTTGTTTTAAAGACTTACGTGAAGAACCCTCAACAAAAAGAGCCCTAGACATGTGGGTTTTCTGGGTCCTGGTTGAGTTTAGGCTTCAGCGGCCGAGCTCCAAAGTTTGGTGGTCTGAAGCCATACAAAGCATGAACCCAGACCCGAAGCCCTCATAGCAATCCTTTACAGGCGGTTAAAGGATTCCTCCAGCGCCCCTTGTAATGCACTGTTAGTGCACCCATACACCTACCCATAATAGTAACAATTCTGGCATAAGCCCTACGAGTTTCATGAACAACAACTGTCAGTATCAAGCTAGGCTGCAGAAGGCCACCCTTATCATGGCTTTGGGGATCCAACTCCAGAGCCACATGGTCTTAGTTAGGGCTTTAGGGTTTAGGGTTTTTTTATAGCTGGACTCTGTTGGTGAACCTAAACTTCTTGATCGACCTCCGCGAAGGGGAAGCTGTCCGATTTCATCTTCGACAGGAGCAAGTCCCAAGCCTGGCACAACCCAGGAGGACCAGGCGGAAGCCGAGACCGGCAAGCATGGTATAAAACCCTAAACCCCAAACCCTAAACTCTATGGATAGGCACCTTAGCAATATTGCACATTGGTCTGTATATACTTGGGGTGTTGTCTTGCGGATCTTGAATCATCATCCGGCCCCTTCCCGCCCATGCATATAACCCCGAAATCCACGGTGATCCTGACTTCCTCACATTCCTGTACCCAGACCATAGACCCTTTTCTTGACAAAAAATAATCTTAGACACTGGATTCCCGGCGTTCGCTTCCTTGCATTGGTCAGGAATCCCATGTACGTACCATGCCATACCATGCCACAGCAAAGACAACTCAAAAAAGGACCCTAAACCAAGCGCAGCGAAATCGGAGAGGCTAAACCCGCAAGCCCCAGCAGCATTCCCATTTCCTGGCTCCGGGCCCGAAATGAGCCTCTATCCACATCAGCACCGGCGAGGTGACGCGAGCAGGTACGTCCGACGCGGTCATGCCACCGGAGGTCTTGAAGTGCCTTCGGTTTAGGGTTTAGGGTTTAAGGCTTTCAGCGGAAGATATGCTACAACAGCTCTTGCAGTGCCTGGTGTAGCAGGGTCCTTACTTTGGAGGGAAGGGTCTACTATAGGGTTTAGGGCCAGGGTTTCAACGCCCGGTGCTGAACTGCTGCACGCAGGCGCCGGGCCGTGGCAATTGTTTAGAACTTGCGGGCTTTGCTGCGAGAATTTTTTGGTTCGGCGTCAGGACATTTTTTGCGGCAACTATTGTTGCAGAAAAACGAATAAAGTAAAGTAGCCGGAAGTGAAAATGTATAAAGCACCAAAAACGTGGAGAACGTGGAGGTTTCAGTAGAGAAACCCAACTTATAAAGTAGATATAAACTGTAGCCGCAAGTGTTGACAATTGTCGAAACAATTGTCGCAAGACTTTAACCATTTCCGAAGCAATTGTCGCAACAATTGAACAAGTTCTGAAACAACTGTTGCAAGCCATGAAACCATTTAAAATGTGTTCTAAAACTTCTACTTCGAGGTACCTCAAACAGAATCCGAATTCTCGGAACCCTTCCAGACAGCTCTGCCCCCCAAAAAACTTCTGCTGCTACATGACAGTGCCGCTGCAGGGGCTGCCATAACTATGTAACGCTTAAGCTCGCCAAAACTTTCAATCCCTACACGGAAGAAGGTGTAGGGACCGAGCCGGAACAAACCTGCGTGTGCAGAGTTGTACATCTCCTGAAGATACTCCTAAGCACCAACGTAGAAGGCTCCAATCTTAAAGCCTCAACTGTAAAGACGCATACTCCAAAGTCTCGAAAGCCCAATCTGTTCACCTCCCAGTGGGAGTTGAAAACCCTAAACCCTAAAAATCCAAACCCTATAAACTCTAATCTTCAAAACTTTAAACCCTGAGCCCGACACCCTAATCCCATGAGGCCCTAAGCCCTCTAATTCTGGCTTTTCTAGGAGCTCCAGCATGGAGCTTGGGGCGACTTCGGGGCCGAATGTTGAGGGTTTTAATTTACTCTTCGGGGCTCGTGGTATATGGTCCCAAATAATGGGCACTTGGGGCCTACTGGAAGGTAAATGGAGGGTCTATGCACTTTGGGGTTTAGGGTTTACGGTCTGCGCACAAGCCACGGCAGCTCGCTGTCGAAGTTGACGACATACCTCTTGAAGACCTTGGCAACCCGTACGTAACTTACGACCTTGGGTATTCAGGGTGTATTCCGGTTATAAGTGCTGTACCACGCGGACTGGAGATTTAGTCTAAGGGCATGTTACCAGCACACCCTCAACCCTGAACCCTAAACCCTACCTCGAGAAATCATTAACCAATCCTAAGCCGCGATTCAAATCATCTTCAGGGGGCCTTAGCCACGGAATCCGTAAATCTGCGGAAAGATTCCTTCAACTTGAGTTCATGAAAAGCCGTTAAAGTTCACGGCTCAGGGCCCTAAGCCCTAAACCCTAAACCTTAAACCCTAAACCCCGAGGTTCGTCTTGCTTTAAACCTTAAACCCTGAACCTTAAAACCCTAAACCACGAGGTTCGTCTTGCTTTAAACAGTAAACCCTAAACCTTAAACCCTAAACCACGAGGTTCGTCTTGCTTTATAAAAGACAGGAAAAGAAATATACATTAAATCATAATCTTAAGGGCTTCAAAATTTAAGGTATATTCCCTTATTCCCTTATAGACCCCTTATAGATCCCTTTAAGAGCCCTTTAAGAGCCCTATACTTTAAGGTTTAGTGCCATTTCATCTTGAAGGCCTGGCCTGGATCATCTAACCCAGGGCCCAGGATTTTGGGGTTCAGGGGTTGAGGTTAAGGGCCGTTTAGGGTTTATGTACGGTTTGGGGGGTTTCAGGGATTTCTGTAGGGTTTGGGGTTTCAGGGTTTAGGGTTTGGGGGTTGAGTGTTAGGGGGCTGAAGCCCGCAAAACTCGCAAAAACCAAAGCTTTCGAGCTCCCTACACCCTAAACCGGGGCAAGCGCCTGCAAGTCCGCTGCTCGCACTGCTGTGGCCTTCAAGCTCTGGGTGGAGCTGTCGAAGCCCAGATACAGTGCCATGGTTTAGGGTTTGGAGGTTTAGGGTAGATGTGTGAAATTTTGGAGCTTAGGGCTTTGGGTTTAGGGTTTAGGGCCATGGAACCAAACCAAAAGCCCTACAGTAAACCTTGGACACTGAAGCCTCAATATGACAAGCTATCCCTCCAAGTTCGACTGGTAGCGCATCAAAGCTGCTGCTTGAACCAAAGGCTGCAGTGCTGCATGGCATACAGAGGCCTATATACCAATAGGCTCCTTAGTAGTTCCTTTTTGAGATTTCCTTATAGGATTCTAAATGTGCGCCGTGAAGCGGAACTGCTGACGTTATGGAGCCTATGGGTATAAGGTGAAGTTTTATAAGAGTTATACTGAACTCGTGCATTCGAGAACCCTCCAGCAGACTACTACTCATTGTTCAGGTCCCTAAACGAGCTGCACGTCTTTGTCTTTAGGCCACCGCTCCCCCATGGCCCAGTAGACATGCCTGAACTCCCTCCAATACGTCACCGACCCAGACAGACACATCCACGAACCCTGCACCGCAGTCCCGAACTATAGTAGGGAGTTTAATTATTGACGATTTCATGCGATATCAAAACTAGAACAACCAAGGATCTATATAAGCTGCCACAGCACAAGCTCCGTAGCCCAGCTGTTTTCTTATAATGTAGAAGAGCGTCTACTTAAAAGATTGCGCGTCCGCCTTGCCTAAACCCTGAACCCCAACCCTAAACCCTAAAGGCCGAAAACTGCACCCCCTGGAGTTTCGGACGCAGCACAGTCGCCACAGCTAAAGTGTTAAGTCTTAATTTAGAAGAGCGCTTCTTTTGAAGATTGCGTGTCGAAGACTTACAAAGGAATACTTGTAGTGGCTATCACTGAATATATTCAAACCTCCGTATCACCGCGTGTTAACATCTGTTCAAAAGACACCAGGCACAGCAGCTAGGCAGTACGAATTGCACGGTTAGCCCTTCTTCGAGGCGACTGCAATACCCAAGAAATCGAAGCAAGCTACGTGTCCTGACCTGAGACCTTTCACCCTCGCAAGAAGCACGATCCCAAACATCGAGACCTGTACCGAAGACAAGCGATTCACAAACAACAGAACATGCAGTGCCGCTGCCGCAGCACAGCGGCTCTATATGCGGTTCCAAATCCTGTCTGGGCTGGGCATTTTCTGCACTGCATCGCAACTCCGTGTAGCAATATCAAGCACAGGCGACTTCATCATACAGGACCCTAAGCCCTAAACCGTTTGCAGGGGAAATCGGAGAAGAAAACTGATGGGCTACGCGGCTACCTTATACCTCAGGAACACATACAGCCTAGACTCTGAACACAGCGATGACAAGGAATCTGCAGAATTATCAAGGAAACTTTCAAAGGAAACCTACAAAAAACTGACCAAAAAACACACTTATGCTGGGCCTTATGCCTTATGCTCTTAAGGCCGTTGCCATGCCGCAGTCTGAACGAGTCAGGCCACTGAGTTTCGGGTTTGCGCGGTCCAGGCCCTAGTGTTTCGGGTTTCGGTTCTGCGTCGCACGCTTGGGGATACCGTCCCCAACTGAACACTAGAACCCGAAAACCCGAAAAAAATCTAAACCCTAAACTCTTGAACCCTAAAACCCCTAAACCCCGAAAACCCCACCCTAAAAACTCTAAAACCCTGGACCCTAAACCCTGGACCTCCCTGTAACCTAAACCCTGGACCTCCCTGTACCCCTAAACCCTAAAACCCTTAAACCCTTTCGCGCCCTAAGCTCCAAAGCCCCTCTAACCAAAATCTCAAGAGCTTCCAGGATTCGAACTTAGCCCGAGTCATGGCCCGAGGCTCCATAGGAAATCTTCCGCCCCCCCCAGTCTCTTATGGTGTAGTAGTTGGGGTTTAGGGTTTAGGGTGTAGTAGACGTGTTCTACAGTATGTATACCACAGTATATGAGAGTATACTTCCGCATATATTGTAGAATATTACAGTCGATTACAGCAAACTGTATCTTATTACATCCAGTATTATGTTTTAGCAAATTCAACAGGTAACCCGAGGCAATGCACTAAGGAACACCGCTCCATTTTCACCAAGCAAGCAAATGGTTTCTGACTTTGTCCGCTTGCTGCTCGGACTGACAAGTGCTCAAGACCGGTTTTTGGCTCCATACCTGTATCTACAGACTTTGGATATCAACACATGCATAATCGGTAGACTTGCATTCCTCAGGCTAGGCGCCCGGGAATGGTCCTGGCTCCATGAGGGGGGTGTTCGCTTCGATAGACGCCAAGGCAAAGTCCTTAAGTCTTCGATATAGGGCAACTTCCTGTGCAATCCATATGGGTGGTTCTCTAAATTAGGGTGCCTTTTTGAGCCCCCAATATAGTATGGCACCCGTGTAAAAAGGATCCGAAAAAGGCCCCCTAATTTGGAGAACTACCCCTTTAGGAGCCGGAACATTTAGACCCGGGGCGTCTTGGTGGTTTAGGCTAGAGCTCTAGGGGAACCTGGAGGAAGAGCCCTTCCATCACTTGTTAATTCGGATAACCTCCCTGACGCCATCCCAGCGCTTTAAAACCCAATTTGCAATCAGGGGGTTCAGGAGCAAGAGCAGGAGCAAGACAAGTGCAAGAGCAGGAGCAAGTGCAGGAGGGGGAGCAAGTGCAGGAGGGGGAGCAAGAGCAGGAGCAACAGCAGAAGCAAGAGCCGGAGAAAGAGCATGAGCAGGAGTAAGAGCAAGAGCGCGCGCAAGAGCAAAAGCAAGAGTAAGAGCAAGGGCAGGAGCAAAACCAGGAGCAACAGCAAGAGCAAGAGCAAGCGCCGGAGCAGGAGCAAAAGCCAGCGCAGGACCAAGAGCAAGATCCCGCAAAAGTGACAGTACAGAGTACAGATAAACATGCACCCTCATAACGAAAACACTTTCTGAGTTGTGTAGGGGCCCCGGCTTAATATTAAGGAAGGAATTCTTTACTCTGTCGCCGAAAACCAAAGGGATCTGTCTCGCATCCGTTTTCGAGAGGACGTTGAAGCAAGGCCATGAAATTCCAAAGTTGATATTCTGCGAGAAACTCGGATTCTCGCATGCTTGTGGGCTAATCTGAGGGCTGACCCAAGACACCTAAGTTGGGCTTTCAACTTGCAGAGGCTTGTTGATCAACTCTAGCAAGCAGCCGCAACATAGCCATGGCGCACCCCTAAACCCTAAACCCTAAACCATGATCCGAGGTTCAAGGCTCGGCGTGGCTTCAGAGGGCTATCACAACTCACCAAACAAAGGGGACAGCCTCCCTAACCCGCAAACTCAATGACCTTGCACTCTAGACGCTAAAGATCGCCAAAACCCTAAACCCAAAATCCCAATAGCCGAAAAAGTTGCACACCTTGCGACCTAATGTAGGGGGCCTGAATGGGGCTCCCTTATAGTATACTAATCATAGTAAGAACAATAAGGAACCCTTAGGAGTAACATTGGCAATTATTTCGGCTCCTTATTAATCCCGAAACCCTCGAATCGCCTGCCCTCGAGGTAAGCATCCACGGCAGCCACCACAGCGTCTTCCACGGCCTCTGCGGCCTCTCGCTGATGGCTTTTTGTAGAGTTCAGAGATGACGACGATAATTTAAGATTATGGTGATTTTGATCAGGACGGCTCAGTTCTACATACTGGATTCCCAGTCCGAACCACTCGTAACAAACACAGGTCGGCTAAGTCCCCAGCTCCAAAAGCCGTAAGCCTCGTTACTGTACTGAAGTTCGTGTCGTGCCACACCGATAAAAACCCCGAATCCTTCGAACCTCATGCCGTCTGGTATAACTGCCTTAGGGTTTGGGGTGATGGTTCCGGCTCCTATAGCACCCCAATCCCTACTACAAGTCATACGGGTGGGTTCCTGTTCTGGTCAGGATCTCCGTCTAAGCACGTGTAGTCCCAATTTCACTTCTCTCTGAATGACTATATAGGGAATACCCACCCAAACTCGAATAAAGCACTAATAGCTTGATCAAAGAAGCGTAAACTAAAACATCCAACATGTGCATCAACCTCAAATGCTCAATCCAAGCAGCCTATTTTCTTCAACCCGTCTCAAAACTCAAAACCTCCAACCCTGGCACCCTACAGAAAACTGCAGCCCTAACGCCCACATCCTAAACCCTGAACCCTATACCACCCCAAACTAAACCCTAAACCCTAAACACCTAAACCCCTAAAGCCTTAAACCTTCAACGCTTTATCGATGGAGCCTGTTGGGTCCTGGCACCCGTATGGTGGGTGCCGTACACGCCACCTTGGGGTGAGCTTGGGGCTTCAGGGTTTAGAGAATTTAAGGCTTGAAGACTATAGGGGGTTGGGGTTTAGGGTTTAGGGTTCAGGGCTTAGGGTTCAGGGTTTAGGCTTCAGGGTTTAGGGTTCAAGGCTTAGGGTTCAGGGTTTAGGGTTTAGGGCTTAAGTTTAGGGTTTAGTGTTCAGGATTGAGGCTTCAGGGTTTAGGCTTCTTTTTTTAGGGTTTATGGGGCTTAGGGGCTCAGGGGTTGTGGCTTCAGGTGTTTCGGGAATCCTTTTCTCTAGGGATCAGGATTCAGAGCATCAGGTTGAGCGTGTGTTGTACGGCCAAAAGTCCACAAAACTCGAGCCCAAGCTCAGTCAACAGCTCTGCTTTCCGACTGCCAAAAAAAAGATGATCCTGTCACCTATAGTATCTAGGTTCCCCAGTAACCCCTTAATAATAAGGGTACCCTTTTTCTTAATATTCGGTTTTAATAAGGGGACCCCAAACTAAAAAGGGCAAAAGGGTACTACTGGGGCACCTAGGTATGCTCTAGTCTAGTGGTTGCACGCACTTCTCTTTCTGTGCATGGTACTGCGACACTGGGGAACCCCGAACCCATGCCACCCCAAGCCGAATGCCCCAGAGCTCAAAAATCTGAAATCGCTAAAGCCATCAGCTCTGCACGCAGTTCCTAAACGACTGAAGGGTGATCTTGCAAGGAGGTTTGTCTAGGGTTCAGGGATGAGTTTTGGGGAGTTG